AAACTAAACAGCCTACAGTATTTTTACAGTCTTTATTTTACAGTTAAAATATATGTTCATCAAATAAAGTCTGATGTTACAACTAATCAGGGATCCCTTTTTAAAAAGAGATTATCTAAAATAATACATAATCATAGAGGAACTGTGGGGAGTACGGCCTTCTAGACGAGACTTTGTCCAAAATATCGGTTTTGTTTCTTTTACACCTAAAATCCCACCCAACCAGCTTTTTTTTTTTCTGTTTTTCTGCATGTTGATTTTATTCACTGCACTTTAACACAGCGGCTAAAAGCTTCAAAATGTCGACACGCTTTATCGATTGCAAGAAAAGAAAAAAAAAAAGGCCCAAAGTAAAGGTCTCTGCAAACACCCCAGTGGGCACACGCTGAAAAYCACTAACGGTGTCCATAATTTGCAGTCCTGTGGGGTAAATTTTAGGAGTTGAAAGTGAACACATCACAGCAAGATTAATCACTCACCACATCCATTCWGGCAGCCGGCAGAGCTCAGACACTCTGGAATCAGCCCCGTTTTGAAAGCCACTCTGTTGAAGTGGCTCGTTTACATACATTACGTTCTAACAGTTTATATCTTTGGAAATTATTTCCACCTTCTGACAGCGCTGCGAGCTCCACTCTCACGTCTCCGTGTAATAAATGGACGATCTCAGCCGGCCAAACTTCTCGCTGAAGTCTCCCTGAGCTCGGACTAAAGCTTCCTCGTCTATGTAGACCGCCGGCCTCCTGGCTGCCAGGAAGTACTGCGCCTTCCTGAGGCTCCAGCCCAGGACGTACATGAGCAGACCGCACACCGCCGCCGTGGACCGGCCCACTCCTGCGTTACAGTGGACGTAGACGGTGTGGCCATTTTCCAGGAGACCGTGGAGCAGGAAGACGGCCTGAGGAAGCATCCTGATCCGACCTTCGGAGGAAAACAGGTGAAACAATTATTACGCTTTCAAAGTCTGGTTTAGGTAGCTTGATTTACTCAGAATAAAGAAACAAACTACCTGAAGCACTGCTAAGTTAATAGCATATCTTAATAAACTACATTAAAGAGCTTTAGATGAAACAAAAACAGATTTTTAGGAACATTAATAAGAATAAAACTTTTCTCAGCCTCACCGTTTCTATTTTCAATTAAATACAAGGCTGAAATAATATGATAATAAATGCATAGTTTTTATTTGCTTTCTGTAGCCAAACTTTTTAGGTTACCACAAGAATGGGCAACTGGTGGCTCACGGGCCAGATGTGGTCCATGGGTGACTTCCGGCCGGTCTGCCAATGAATGAGTAAAATAAGTTTGTATTTTTAATTTTCTATTTTTTCTCTAAAAAAACACTCAAAGATCTTAGATTATAAGAGGCCTCATTGGTTAGTTAACCATCTCTGTGTTAGACTGTCGGTTCACAGAATTTCAAAGCAAACCTGTGTCTGCTTGGCTGTCTGCCATGAAGGATTTTAAAGGGGTAATATTATGTGTTTCTCAGACATATATTTAAATACTATACCATAATAAAGTATCTATGTCACCTTTAGTTGTTATTAAAATGCTGTTTTTATGTTTAAATAGAAAATAAACTTATCTTCTCATCACTTCCTCTTCTAAACAACTTGAAATTGGCCTCTGTCTCTTTAAGAACCACCTTCTGCTTCTGTCCCATCCATTTCAGTGCGGGGTGGGGGTCGCGTGTGCGCTACAGTGCAGTTTACTTGGCATCTGAAAAAACATTTCCTCAAAGGTATTTTGAATTTGAAGAGCTTCGCTGAGTGAGAAGTAGTGTTGAGAGCAGCAGACAGTTAGGTTTCACTTTCACTTTGCTCTGTTACTGCCGAGTAGTGATGTGCAGATCGATACTGAAATATCGATAGTAC